CGAGAAATATTGGAACAACAAAGAGCTCGAGAGCTCTTAAGCAGAGTAATAGGTCTCACTCTGCTATATGGAGCACAGATATGGACACGGGTGGTAAACATTGGAATCTACCGGACACAAACGGAAAATACGCAGAAAAAGACCGAACTGAGTGTGGCCAGTGTTTACAGAACGACATTGCTAAAGGTGATACAGGTTATCACTTGCACAATAGAACGGAAAAGGCTATACAGGGTGTTTCATAATATATGCGCAGAAATTCAGGAAGTCATAGCCCGTCCAAAAATATGAAAAAACATTTCTATTAACTTACCCTCTAAAATGCACCATTTTCGAGATACAGGGTGTTGAAATTGAAAAAAAAATTCTACGCCACTGGAAAAAGTACGGTTTTGAGACTCCCATTTGAACCGACAATGCTTTTTGCACAAAAAAGGTATAATTGGTCATACGCTTTAAAGTCGACCGTTTTCGAGAAAAATCAAATTTTAATGTTGAAATACATGGTCAAACCTACTTGATGAAACAAAATTTGATTTTTCTCGAAAACGGTTGACTTTAGAGCGTATGACCAAGAGTACCTTTTTTGTGTAGAAAATATTGGCGGTTTAAATGGGTGTCTCAAAACCGTACTTTTTCCAGTGGCGTAGAATTTATTTTTACAATTTTAACACCCTGTATCTCGAAAATTGTGCATTTTAGAGGGTAAGTTAATAGAAACGTTTTTTCATATTTTTGGACGAGCTATTACGTCCTGAAGTCCTGCGCATATATTATAAATCACCCAGAAGGTAAAATTCAAGAGAGGAAATGAAAACATTACGTAAGGTTAGTCTACGAGAATGGTAATAAGAATGGCTCAGCACAATAGACGTAGATCAGTAGATTAAGAAAATTATCCCAGATTAAATAAAGCGGTACAATCGTTTGGTACAATCGTCAGCACATGAATCTGGATTATTATATTATGCAGTTCCTGGCAAGATACGAGTGCTATATAAAATATACGAAAAGAATTGGTAAATCGGTAACGGGTACTTATATGTACTGTGATAGTATCTATACCCCAGCTCACACCATTTTTAATACCAGCGGTGGGAAAATAAAATATATGCATCATGAACTACCATAGGTACTGCGTCACGTGAAGAAGACATACGAAATAATTCTTAATGAATAAAGAAAACTGGGAAGTAGTTAGAATACTGTCAAAAGAAATAAACAAAGGAAATGAAGAAGAGGAAAGAAATAGATAGGCCCTTGAGAGATCCAACTAGATAAACTAGTTAGTTTCTTTTCGGACCACCCAGCATTTTAAAGAATGGCTCCAAAAATAATATATAAATATTTGAGAGGTAGAAGAGAGTGGACTTTTTAGTGAGTAAGCTCATACTAAGAAAGGAGAAGTGTGCGTAAATGTCATTTTCCTGTCAAAAAAGATTTGTCGCATACATATTGCACAACAGTTCATCAGCCATCAGCAAAATAACTTCGCTCATAAAAACGCTCAGTTTCGTGTAGGTACACCTGACAAAGATAGGTATATACCTCCCTAAAGTAGGAAGGTTTAATGACATGACGCCAAAGTCGTACCGCCCAATCAGTCTATCGTCATTCATGCCGAAAACGCTAGAAAGACTAATAGATAGATATATACGAGACGAAATACTGAGAGAAAATCCTCTCAGCGACCGTCAATATATATCATATCAGCCAGGAAAGTCAACCGATTTGGCCCTGAATGATCTTAAAAGACTATTGTCAAAATCCCTGGAGGATAAGGAAATGACAGTAACAACTTTCGTAGAAATTAAGGGAGCTTTTAGTAATGCTCAAACAAGATCTATAATTAACGCATTAGCAATAAAAGGGGTACCAGTAGTCTTATGTCAGTGGATAAAAGCCAGCCTAGAAGAAAGGGTAATAACATCATCTCTAGGCGAAGCTACACTGACAGCTAAAGCAGGCAGGGGCTGCCCCCAGGGAGGAGTACTATCACCCGTCCTCTGGTCAGTCCTAGTGGACGAACTTATAAAAAGGCTAATATCTGCAGATTTTTACTGCCTAGGGTATGCCGATGACCTGGCGATCGTCGTAAGAGGCAAGTTCGCAGGTACAATATCGGAGCGCACACAAACCGCTCTAAACATTGTCGACGAGTGGTGCAGAGAGAAGGAACTAACAGTAAACCCTCACAAAACCACAATAGTCTCAACTTTACAAAACGAAAAGTACCAACAGGACTAAAGTCACCAGTACTGAAAAAAGTGAAGATTCCATTCGCTCAAGAGGCCAAATACTTGGGAGTCATCTTTGACCACAGGTTAACATGGAATCAACACTTGCAGAAAGTCACTCAAAAGAGCACAACGTCCTTCAATTTATGTCGAAGGTTGTGTGGAAAAAATTGGGGATTACAACCAAAAATGTCCCTGTGGTTATATACCAGAGTCATAAGGCCGATGATAACCTACGGGTCGGTGGTATGGTGGCCAAAGACTCGGCAAGCTAGAACCATTCGACAGCTCAATGGTATTCAAAGGCAAGCATGCCTGAGTACCACGGGAGCTATGAGAACGACTCCAACAGCAGCTATAGAAGTCATGCTAAACCTAACACCACTACATATATTCATTCAAGGCGAAGCCAGGTCTGTCACATACAGACTGCAAAAAGGTTCATCGCCCATAAGCAGTTTGCATAGACGCGAACGACCAAATAATGGGAATGCCTTCAGACAAAATGCTTCCAAAGTATAGCTTTCAAAAGCAATATAAAGTAAGTATACCAGACAGGGAAGTGTGGACGGGAGGACCTCCTATTTATTCAGATCTCCCCTGGTACACAGACGGCTCCAAAACCCATGAAGGTTCAGGAGTAGGTATATATAGTACCAAGCCAAAGACAAGAATCTCACTGAGCTTAGGTAAACATGCGACAGTATTCCAGGCAGAAATAGTAGCAATACATCACTGCGCAAAAGAAGTATTAAGACAGAAGGTAAATGGAAAAACCATTGTCATATACTCAGACAGTCAAGCGACGTTAACAGCACTCAGTTCCATGCAGGTACACTCAAAGCTTGTGTGGGACTGTTTGGAAGCCCTAACAGAGCTGGGTAGTCAAAACAGACTAACCTTAGCCAGGGTACCAGGCCACAGGGGACACAAGGGCAATGAAGAGGCTGATTTACTAGCCCGAGAAGGAGCCTCAAATGCTCTTATTGGCCCAGAACCCTTCTGTGGTGTAACAAAAACAACTATCAGAACATGCACAAAGCAGTGGATGTTTAAAAAATCTCAGGAGTGGTGGAAAAACTCACCAGGACAGAGACAGGCCAAAAAGTTCTTAAAAGGACCATCATCTAAACTCACCGAGCATCTACTAAGCCTTAATAGGAAAAATACTAGAATATTAGTAGGTCTATTAACAGGGCATGGTAGGCTTAACAAACATATGTTCAATATCGGTCTGACAGAAGAGGCCTTGTGCCGATTCTGTCAAGAAGAAGAGAAAACGGCAGAACACGTATTGTGCTACCTGCGAAGGTCTAGTAAGACTGAGATTCCTTACTCTTGGAGAAGAAAAACCAAGGGCAACTAGCTATACTGTAGAAATACTTCCCAGTCTATGGAGTCTACTACAAAAGACCGAATTAGACAAGGTACTCTAAACAATGATTAAAGGATACCCACAATAGATCTGAAAAGGTCGAGGTGGGGGAGGCAACATGGCCCATAGTCCTTATTAAATCTTAATCTTAATCTAGGTAGTCAAAACCTCAGTCTACCTACATATCACAGAAAACACAAAAGTGGCTGATTTATCAGAGCCCTTCTGTGTTGTCAGAAAGAGAGTAGATATTAAATAAAAATAAAGAATGGTGGAACAATTCACCAGGACCATAGCCAAAACTAATCAAATATCTACTGATCCAGAATATGCAAAATACTAGAGTACTAGAAAATTTATCAAAGAGGCATTGTTGGGTCATTATTGGCATTGTTGGCTTAATAGAAGGGACCTTATGCCGAGTCTGTTTGAAAAAGAAGGAAAGTGCAATACAGGTATTGTACTACGCCAAGGTATATCAAGACTAAAATACCTTGCACTTGTAGAAGAAAAACCAAAGGCCTTTAGCTACACCGAATGGATACTTTTGAAATTAAATAGTTCTTTAACCAATAATCAAAGCATATCCACAATAAATCTTTAAAAATCGGGATGAAGTAGACTACATTGTCATAAGAAAATCTAATCTAAGTGTGTAACATTTATGACTTAAATCGCCCCTTATTTACAAGGGGTCGGCATGAGCTACATCGTTGACACAATTGCATCATCACTTCCGGCACAGTTGTGAAACAGTTAAATCGTGCAGATTGTTTAGTTTGTAAAAAATAAAATGAAAAAGTTCCGCTTTATACATTGAAGATTGCAATTTTTTTCTCTCTTTGCTCTAAAGAGTATTTAAAGTCAAAGAGAGAAAGGGCATATACTATTTTAAGTTAGTAATACCCAAAGGTGATGGTATTATTCGACAACGGCAATTACAACTTCCATCTTCCTTATAAAAAAAGTTTATTCCAATGACAAGTCTATCAATAATTTTAGTAATGTAAATGTATTGCCAATTATTAAGAAATAAACATGTTATATAAGAACATTCTTTTAAAATAATCAGCGTACCTCATGCGCTATAGCAACTAGTCCTTTAAAGGGCCAAACGAGTTTTGAGTTTCTTACTTCGCCACTAGATGACCAATGATAAACGGATAAACGTGTGGGAAGTCAAAATAGAAAAACATTTCGCACTATAATTTTCATTTTCTATATTATTTATTTCCCCTTGATTCGATGTAACGAATTTTAAAATAATTCCTGTGATACATTATGTAAGTCCTTTCTTTTTGGACACTTGGTGCATGTATTTCAGAAAGAGCCCATATTTTACAACCTAAGTAAGTATACAATTTATATTATAAATTTTAATTAAAAACTCACCTATCCCTATTGTAATAATCATCTCGGCCACTACCGCTATTTCCATAATTCCATCTACTAGCGTACCCTGAAGTACCATAATCCCTTCCTCCGGGAGAATATCCTCTGTAGGTATCTTCGTTCGACCGATACGGATACGTGTCGTATCTGTTATCGTAACCTCTGTAATCATACCCACGGTTATCGTAGCCTATGCCGCGATCGTTGTTACGTTCGTACGGGTCATAATAGGTTCTATCGCGGCCACCGCCGTAGCGGTCATAACGATCGTACGGTTCGTAACCTCGGTCGGATTCGTACGGGTCGAAGTACCGGTCACGATCACCGTACCGGTCACGCCCGCGATAGATGCGATCACGATCTGAATATCTATCGTACCTGAAATTATAATGTATACGTAAAATAACAATAATTAATAAAATAATAGTACCTAATTATTTTATGGTATACAGCTTAACAAGAGAAGCTTTGCCGGTGACCCCAGTCTACGCGCCACTAAGTGAGGTGAACTTACCGCGCATTGCACTTTATGTTGTTTATTTAAACAAGTTTTCTTCCTTTATTTTATGATTCTGCTTTATTCGTTTTAATATCATAGAAACATAATTAAAACTTACAATAATCAGTTCTTTTGTTATATTTTATTTGCAAAAACTTAGAAGGTTTTGGTTATCCTTAATCTTTTAAAGCCGAAATTGTAGAAGAATGGCATATTACACCTCTACACCACAATACATCATTGTGATGTAGTATAAATCTGGGTAATATCATACCTTCTTTTTATAGTATTATGATACAAAACCACCCGTTCGGGCCAAGTCTTCGACAAGATCTATTATATAGAGCGTATATATAAAAAGTGCCAGACCCGGGCAGTACCAGCGTCGTCCCAACAACGAGCCAAGTTCGACATATTTGTACGGTGCTGTGTGGCTATCACGGGATGCGCCAAAGGGGATCGAAGTAGGCTTGTTGCTTTTGCAGTATAGCAGGGACAAAAGTTGGAAAGGCTTTTCGCAGTTCTCTAGAAACTGACAGTTTTGCAGCGGAACTAACCGAAGTGGACGCGATACATTGGCGTACAAAATTATTTTATAGATGTTAATAATAATTTAGGGTATATATTTTAATAAATTGTGAATAACTGTTGAAATTTTGTAGAATTATGATTTGGAATATTATAATACTTGTTTAATAATTATTTCTAGTCCATAAATACATGCGATTGTCCGGTTCCGCCGGTAACAATTTAAAATTATTATTATATGGAACGACACTGGTAGATAAACATTACACCGAAATTCGCGGAGTCGTCCGACGTGGTTTGACGTTTACCTACCAAAAGTCTTTCCAACTTCTGCCCCTGCTATAGATCCACAACACCGTACAAATCTGACGAACCTAGACCCTTTTTTGGCACAGATGCGGCCCAGACCCGACGCGTTATATCTATACTCACCTTATAAACTCAAAAAATAACTCTGACATACTGTGTAGCAGATACTAGAGAGGTTAAGCCCGTAGCTAGGTTGTTTTCTTGGGGAAGGGTAACACTTTTCACATTATTGATAAATGCGCAGCGTGTTATCTTAAAATATGGTACCAATGCAACTTCTAAAGTTCATATGTGTATTTCCAGAAAAAAGAGTGAGTTTTATAATGAAGTTTTTAATTTTTTATATATTTACACAGAGTATTTAAGAATAAAGTACCGTAATTTTGGGGATTTGTAGATCTTAATCAATTATAAAGAAAAGTTAAATATAATTTTCCCATAAACGTCTCAGTTTTCATTCTACAGGGTGATAAAGTGAATTTAATAAATACATATTATTTTCTAAATATTTTCCCTTACTGTAAAGACTTTAACATAAAAATATGTATATGAGAGGTAATCGTTATTATTATTTAACACACTATTTCGATAAATTACCATAACCCATTGGCGTAGAATAAAGGGCTAAAGAAACAATTTTATTCAAAACTTTTTGAACACCCTACATTTCATAAAAATTAAAATTAATAAATATTTATCACGCCATTTGTCACAAAAAAAGGGAATTCTGGTTGATCTTTGTAGAGTATTCCATTTCCGATGTGATAGAACTGATTTATTTTATACAGAGTGTTTTGAAACATGTCTTAAATATGGCTAATTTTAAGTTCAATTTACTAAATTTTGTCAAATGCAACACACTGTATATTATTTTCGCATAAAATTCCTTATAAATTTATCTATCCAACGATACCAACATGTCCCAATAGTGCGTAATTGATCGATAGCTGTTTTATTATTGGAAATAAAAATCGCAAATTAATATAAAAGTTGCATGACCATGTTAAATAAATATTCTTAAATATACAGGGTGGTTCATAAACGAGGGGCTGACTAAACTTATACATTTTTATATTTGTTTTCACATCTTCAAACAACTTTAATTGACTTCATTTATTTGCTATGTTGTATATAGGGTGTTTTAAAATGAGGGGTAACGATTTTCTCATTTTTTTAAGTGGAATACTCTATATGTCATACTACCAATTAATTAATACAGGGTAGGTATTCCATTTCTAACAAAAAAAGAATCATTGGAATCAAACACCGTGTTAAAGAATTATCGCTGATCATACATAAAAAAATATTTCGACGAATTGAGAACCTCCTCTTTTTTGAAGTCGGTTATAAAAAATATTGCGACGAATTGAGAACCTCCTTCTTTTTTGAAGTCGGTTATTAATGATGAACTATGCGGATACTAATGAAACAACAATTTGTATTCAACCTATCTACAAAATCCAATATTGGGCATGGATATGGAGACAAAATCAACGAACAGAAGTCAGTACAGGTTACATACACAAAATTTAGAGGCAATCCAAAAAGTAACTCTGAATGGACAAGTCCTACCTCAGACATACTCCATAAAATACTTAGGTATACACCTGGATAAAGGCCTGGCATAAAAAATACATGTCATCAATAAACGCAAATAGCCTTGTTCCAAAACTCAGTAAGTACCTACTATTGGATAATAGGTAGGCAGTCCAAATTAACACTAACAAACTTCTAATATAGAAAGTTGCTTTTAAACCTGTGTGGAGCTACGGAGTAGAGATATTGAAAACGGCAGCAAAATCACACATAGAGATCATATATAAAGGTTTCAAGAAGAAGTGTTTCTTATTATAAAAAAGCTCTCTGGTTTATATCAAGCAGCGCAATCAGGAATTATACAAAAGTAAAATCAATTAAGCAAGGGTTTAGTAAATATTATAGCAAACGTTAAATAATAAGACAATACACAAGCATCTTTCAGGCGGAAATTCACGCCATCGAAAAGTGTATCCAGTTTAACATCGAGAGAAACTATCATAGACAAGAGATTATCATCATGTCCGATAGTCAAGCAGCCATCAAAGCGCTGAGCTCTTACGTAATCAGCTCAAAAATGGTCTGGAGATGCCTAGAACAATTAAATGAGCTAGGCGAGAAAAATAGAGTTACTCTCACTTAGGTCCCGGGACATAACGAGGTACAGGGTAACGAGATTGCAGATACTCTTGCAAGGAAAAGGGATCAAACACTCTTTGTAGGACCTGAGCCGTTCTGTGGTATCAGCAGTAACATAATATTAGGGGAGATTTAAAAAGAATTGAGAAGTAGAAGAACCAATAATTGGAACAATCTGTTGGGGCTGAGACAAGCCAAGATACTTCTGGGTGAATATAACCAGAAAAGATCGGAAGCCTGCATCTGCCTGAGCAAGAACAGGCTACGTATTGTAACAGGGATCCTTACCGGGCATTGCCGACTAAAAGGACACCTAAGTAAACTGAGAGTAGTAGAGGATAGTGAGTGCAGATTCTGTGAGGAGGAGGACGAAACCTCCATTCACATTCTAACTGAATGTGTAGCACTCCAGAATCCAAGGGCACTATATCTAGGAGGATATCAAATAGAAGAGGGAGATTTACCTAACTTGAAGCCACTTCAAATCCTACACAATAAGATTGGAAGGATCGCTATAGGTATTGAGACATTTCCTTAGTGCAGTGGCGACAGAGGGGGGCACAATAGATCTTTTAGGTCGCAGTGTATTAACACCCCATTATCAACATAACATAACATACCTAATACGTCACAGAATGAAAAATCGAGATAACAGAGAATATTCTGCTGTGGTTCGTGCTTAGTTTTTTTTTTAATTTTATATTTTAATAACATTTATTTTTAGACTATTTTCCACTGTAGAGTTTTTAATAATAATAACAATAATAATAGTTTAAGATAATCCAATCACATGATAATAGTTCTCTTCATAATTCAAATAAAAATTAATTCAATTAAAATTTTATGGAAATCATTATATGATTTTTCTTGGTATTTTGTAGCTTATTTTTTAAAAAATCATACTACAGATATTATAAAAACTTTAACACTAGAACATAGTTCATAAATAAAAATATTAACAACACTAAATAAAAATTAAATATAAGATTTTTCTATAAAAACTAATGTACGAATCCAAGTAGAATATTTACTGTCAACAAATTTTTTCATTTCGGGACGTCATTACGTCCTAAAATAATTCAAACAAAATTAGCATTAATCTAGATAAAATTGCACATCTCTGATTTTTAGAATATTTTTTTTGTGTGTTATCGGCATTAACTGCTACGGTTATTAGCCTCTTGATCTGTGTAAGCTTTGTTACTATTTCCAGCACCAGTTTAAGAACATTCCTGTTAATTAGAACCCAACAGTGAAACATCGAGTGGAGAATCCTACTTATTCATTAGAATTGATATTTAATTCGTTAAATTTAATAAAAATCCTCTTACCGATGGTATTCGAACCTGAAATCCTTCGATTTCAAGATCATGACTCCACTGAGCCAAGCAACCCCTATTTATTTTTATAAGTAAAAGTAATACTGAAACAAACAATTTAAATTAAGAAAATAATTAACAAGTTATTAAAGTAATTGAAAAAAATTGACTTTAAAACTGTACAGATGCCCTTAAAATTGTTTACGGAACTGCTCCTTTCTATCAATAAACGAATCATAGAAATCGGACAACATGGTAAAGAATAAAAGCTGAAAATACATAAAAAATGAAGAGTTTGATAATTTTCTTAAGGATCCCATTATTAGATTTTAACCAAATTTATACGGGACCACCCCTGATGAATTCCCTTTCTGAAAAAACAGACTAATAGAAATCGGACAATGTAGTAAATAATTATCGCTGAACATAAATAAAAAATAGTCCGACTAATTGAGAACCTCCTTCTTTATTTGAAGTCGGTTAAAAGAACATGTCTAAAATAATTTATTGTAAAAAGTTAGAAATAAAGTCTCGGAAATATCCATTCGCTTTATTGTTTAAATGTGAAACGAATTAAACAAATAGTCGTAGATTATGTCAGGTGGTAGTAATTTTGAATTTGTCAATTTGTTAAAAATTTGTATATTTTGACATTTCCAAAGTTTTTATTTAACAAACTGGTGAAACGATT